GGGGGGGGGGGGTTGGCTTCTTCTCTGCCCCTTCTCAGTGGCAAGATGAGGAGACTGGAACAAGTTGTGAGGATTGGTTGACAACGAATGAGGGCCAAGGAGGACATTTGCTTTTTGAAGGCATGGTTCCCAGAGGGGGAGAAAGAAAGCCACCATCCCAAAGGGTAAACTGGGTCTCTGAATGATAACCCGTGTCCCCTGAACACATACTCTACCAGGCAAACAGTGGGCATTCTCGCAACCCCACCCATGGGGAAGAAGCTCTGACAGAAAGCTATTGGTGCTCCAGCTGGAAATATCCCCAGCCTTGCAGCTTCTCTTCTCTCCCAGCGCAGGGCTGCGCAACTGTTCCCTATCAGCTGCGCTGAGCAGAGCCACAGAATTGGGAGGCGCAGCCCCAAAAGAATGAAACAATAATAATAATAATCGTAATCGTAATCCCAAAGCTCTGCAAAAGCACTCAAGCAATGGAAAAACAGCCACCGCAAAAGTTGAAGCAGACTAAAAGGACCAGCAGCTTCCAAAATTGGTGCCTCCAAATTTGGGTGGCAAAATCCAGGGGAGGTAGACAGCCACACACCAGGCTTGGGGGACACACCCTTCTCTTAATAGGAATGTTCCTCTCCTGAGTTTGCATGGGCTGAATTCTGCTTCCTTCCGTCCTTCTGCGTATCTTGAGATTTGGTCAGGCACGTTGACACGGCTTCCGTTTCTCAGCAACCTTGACCCAGCTCCAATACGGTTACCGTTAGAAGGCGCAGTTAAGATTGTGGGCACATCACACACCCAATGGTTTGGCCAGTTCCTTGCCTCAAGGGCAAATGAACTAAGATTTCTCACCGAGCCGAAGGAAGCGTGCCTTAAGGTGCTTCTCGAAGGGATCCGGGCAGCCATCTGAAGATCTGACGCAGAGCCACCAGATTCCAGCTCTTCCTCTCCTTCTGGTTTTACTCTTGGTGTGGAGGTCAAGCAGATCCCACACTAGCAGGCTCACTTTTCTGTGGAAATGCCAGGATCCATCATCTGCCAAAGAGTGACTCAGAGATGGGCCTGGATCTTCCATCCCACAAGCCAGCCATTGGAAAAAATATATCCCCAAATTTGCACCTGCTAAATGTGTGGGATTTCTACTCCCCTTATCCTTAGTCAGCACAACAACAGGAGCGGAAGCCCAAGGCATCTGGAAGAGATGAGACTGGGGGAATCTGTACCAAAAAATAAATGAAAACGCCACCTCTGAGCACTAGGGGTCAAAGATTCTAATGGGAAACCCTCACACTGAGAGACAATGCGGTAGAGTGGTTAAGGTCCTGGACTAGGAATACAGATGCTACTTTTTTCCCAGTCCTGGAAGTTCCCTAGGGCACCCTTTCTCAACCCAACCTTCTTCCCAGGGTTGTTGTGGTAGGGAAATATAAGAAGCAGGAATGTTGGGTACACCACTTGATTGACCAACTGAGTGCCATCAAGTTGTTGTTGACTCTTAGCGACCACCTAGATAGATTTTCTCCATGATGGTCCACCCCAACCTGCCTCTTCAGCTCTTCCAGTGGTAGAAGGGCAGGATTCCAATTAGGTGAACAAACAAGACAGTTTAGCAGAACTGTGTCAGGGCCTGGTTAAAGGCCCATAGTTCATGCACAGGTTTTTTAACGGAAGATCATTGGGACTATAAAGAATGAGCAACAACCTAGCTCACAGTTGTTCGTTTTTGTCCCTTTGAGTCAGTTTTTGACTCCTGGCGACTGCCTAGACAAGTCCCTGCAGTTTGCTTGGCAAGGTTTTTCAGAAGTGGTTTGCCATTGCCTCCTTCCTAGGGCTGAGAGGGAGGGACTGGCCCAGTGTCACTCAGTTGTCCTTGGGCCTAAGGAGGGACTAGAACTCATGGTCTCCCAATTTCCAGCCTGGTGCTTCAACTACTATACCAAACTGGCTCTCCAGCCCATAGTAGACAATTTTAAAAAATGTTATTTTATTTCCTATTTTTAAACTATGGGAGATCAAAAATCCTCGAATGACTTCCTCCTGCTCAAGATCCTTTGCAAACTCCACGCTCAAGTTCTCTTTTGAGAGAGAGAAAAAACCTAGCTGGATCAATGCCAAGATTCAGCATTTTTCTTTTTGGGGATGGGGGAGCTCCTTAATATTGGACAGGAAAAAAACGAAGATGGATCTATCCAAACAGAGAAATATGCATTTTCCCCCCACCTAGTAGAAATATGAGTCAGCTGAGAAAGGGGAGGAGGGATCAGTTAGGTGTACTTTTATCTGTCTAGTGCCAAAAGGAGTCAAATACTGGGGATGTATCTTCCAGTATCAGGCTTAATTAAAGGTAAAAAGCAATTCCACCTTTAAAATGTACAATATTACTTCTGCTAGGACGGCTCGTGTCTGGATCCTCAACCACAGCAGTTGCCTAGCGTTCTGACTTAGCAGTCGGCAACTATAAAGGCACAGCTCACACCTGCCCACCTTTGGCCCACTAATGCTCCCTGCAGCTTCTCCGGATCATCTCTGTGCCTTGCAAACAAAACAGAAATGCCACCTAGTAACACCTCCTTATTTCAGCTGACATACGAAGAGACTTAATACCAAGTTGGGCATCAATCCAGCCAGCTTCTGAGGCCGGCTGACTGCAGTTTTCCAAGGTCTCCAGCAGAAAAAAAGCCTTCCTCAGCCTGAGGGGAGACAGGGGATCCGCTACAGATCCCCTGCCTTCTTTTCTGCTGACAGATCAGCCCAGTCATTACATCTCTCCTTTCAAGATACTTCAACCCGTAACTCCAAGCATTCATTCTGTGCTGGTCTTCCAACAGCACGCTGGAAGCTGCAGATCAGAAAGCCTACAGGCCAGTTTAAAAAAAAAACAAAAACACCCTCGATTTTATTTCATTTGCTTTAAATGGAATTAAAATGAATTAACCCCAGTAAAGCGGATGACTCATGCAGATGTACTGATTGTCTCCTTCTGTAACATTCAAAAAGCTCAGTGGGATGATTACATCCAGGTTTAGGAGCAAAGATTTGGGCAGTCCTGCCACTTTCAGAATGGTAAGACATCTTGGCTTCGTCTTCCTCCCCGAACTGCGCGAGCTCATGTTTTCTTTGCATTTCCAGAAAAAGTTGCACGCTGGCACTTTGGTCCAAACCACCTTTTTCATTTTCTGGTTTATGGAAGACCAAAGTCCAGCCGTCCATACCAGGAGCTCCCTACCCCCATAACCAAAGGTTCTTTAAAGAGATCAGACATACCTTTGGAGAAGGGAAGAGTTTATTAAGAGCATTTAGCCAAGAAGGGGTTAGCATAAGATTGGGAGACAGTCCGAAGGCATTCAGCCGACTTTCAGTTTAGCCATTGGGGTATGATTCATTTCAAGAGAAATGGGTATAAATCACAACTACTAGCACCATGATGTCTGATGGAAGCATTTCAGGGGAGTGCCAAAAATAATCTTTCAAGAAGGATCCAAGTTGTTGACTGGGAGTTCATGATCACCAGGCAATTCGAAATGCCAAAAGTTTTAAAATAACTTTTCGAGGAGATGGAGTAGCTTTTCTTGGGCCTCTCTCACGGCTCCTTTGGGGCTTTTCCAACAGTTCTCACAAAGCCAGGATCAGTTCTCAGTCCCCAAAATTCTCTAACAGCAAAGGATCTGTGCAGTCCTTGGGGTTCTCTGAGCTTGGCTGTTTTCTTGCAAACGTTTCATTACAAGGATCTCCCCCGTGTCTCCGTTGGAAATATGACCTTACCTAAATTATCCTCCAGCACAAAGACAAGACCCTGCCCTAAAATAAATCTAGCCCCCCGCCCCCAAGAGCATGCATGCATTTATCAGACCCCAAGCGATCCCTAAAAGATGAGGATTGCTGGGGGCCCATCAACAAGCGAAGGAGGAACATCAGGTTTTCTTTTAAGCAAATGAAGATGAGACAGGTGTGATGGCAGGAAGCAAAACCTGGTAGGGAAGAATTTAGCTGAGAGTCACAATGGTGTAGTGGTTAGAGCTCCCTTTCTGGTTTTCTAGGGTGAAGGGGCCTGTAGTCCAAACATCTGAAAGGCACCGTCAGGTTGGGAACACTCATCCCCCGCACACAACACAGAAAACGTCCATTCGGAACAGGGTTCACAAGGGTCTTTCCTGTCCCACGGCCTGGGTGGAGATTTCTAGAACTTGCACCTGTCAGGTTCAGCCCAAGAACAGCAATGAGGCCATCCAGTCCAGTCCAGTTCCTTTATTAGATCGGACCTAATAGACAGAATCTCGCTGAAGCAACACCCCGTGAGACTCTAGGGATGGGCCAGCCTCGTCCTCTTTGTCTTCCCACTCTCTTGTTGCAAGCTGAGGAAGTTGCACTTGCCCTGGGAAGCCTCTCCCCCCTCCTGACAACCTTGAACTTCCATTCCAGAATCGTCCCTGCTCCTGCCATCCATTACATCACCTGAATAAACGCCATCAAGGTTGTGTTAAGTTCTCATGGTACACTGATAATTCTCTTGGCCGCCATTACTGGACTTGTGGACCCATTTGGAAATCACCTCTCCAGAGGATAACTAACACTGGGAAGCTTGTCTCTACACTTGCACACATTTAATTTGAGCTCTTCCCCCTCCCTCTGCATGCTCTCCCATCAAAGTAAAGATGGTCAGCTATTTGGGGCAGGCTCCATTCTTTTGTACAGGATCTGTCCAGGCTTGGAGTATTGCTGGAGGGGGTCCAGCGGACGTCTTCACAGTTCTGGCATTCACTTTGACACGCTGCGCCTAGAAAGGGTTAGAAAGTCCCAAGCATTTCCCCAAAGGCCTGATCCAGCTCTGGTCATGGGAAAACCACCCGACGAAATAACTGTAGTCCGGTGGGACCTCTTCTACATTTCTTTCTTAAAGAGAGCCACGTAAGCAGCCAGTTCAACTGAGCTTATGGACGCACTGAGATGCAAATGGACAGATCTGGGTCCAGATCCACCTTAGCCTTGCTTCTTCTCTTGTTGGGTAAGACACCCTCTACCAGTTCCACCCACCTTTCTCTCTCCTGGTCATTGCAAGAGTGATTTTTGTCATCTGAGAAGAGGTTTATGCAACTTTTCCTCTACCCCCCCCCCCCATCTTTTTCTCCTTTGGCATCAGGGCTTACTCCATGATCAGCCTTGCAGGAAAAGATTGTCTTGTTCGGTCATCTAAGCCACTCTAGCAGTTTAGGAAGAGGTGTGGAAGACTGGGATTAAAAATAAATAAATGGGTGCCCTAAACAAGACCTGCCAAGGAATGTACAGGTGATCGTGGAATGGATGAACCATTAAGAGAGGTGAGATGGCAACTCAACCCTGGAAAAGTAGAAAGTGTGAGAAAGAAACTCATTATAATCCCACCTTGATTCTGTCTGGTGTAAGATGGGGCAGAGGGAAACTCTGAGAAGTTTTCAAGATTCTCTTATTATACCCTATAACAATAACGTAGCATTCTTGGAATTCTGTGGTGTCTATTCCCAGAGCTGGCCTACCCCGAAGGGCTGATGCACCTGAAGAACACAGCCCTCTCACCCCACACAAATGCTCCCCAAGGAACAGGGTTAGCTGCAAGCCCTGGAGAGAGTTTATTCTCCCTCAATTTACTACCACAATACAGTCAGGCTTTGCAAATGCAGACCCACTGCTGTGCAATTCCATCTTTTTTGTACCCTGGATCCCCTCACCTGCTCCTTCTGAATATTTCTGAAGGCCATCCCAGGTCTTCTACTGATGATCCTTTGGCGAGGTTCACACCACACACTTTACATGTCAGCTAAAGGCAGGAGTAGCTGCGTTCCCACAGCATGCTAAGCTGGATAAGAGCGCCATTCAGTAGAGTGGGCAAATCCAGGAACAGGTTAATTCAGGCACCCAGATTAAGCACTGTGAATGCAGTGGGCTGAGCCAAGAACAACAGGCTGCTGTTTTAATTGCTCATTCACAGACTGTACCTCTTGATCTCCTCTCCTGCTGCCAACTTAGCAAAATTGTCATGTCAGGGGACCATCCCGTGGACATCAAGCTCCCGCAGACCCAAGATATCTGTTCTCCCACCCACCCCTGTCCTCACTACTTCACCCAACTGAAATGGGGGGGGGGGGGTTTTAAAGG